AATCGGCGCCGGTCAGTCGATGTAGTTAGGTGTCTAGTTTAAAATAAAACAAACCCGAACTCTCCAGCTTGAAGTATATTAAAAAATCTTGGGACGTCGTTCAGGGTCCTTTTTGGACCTTGATCTCGGGAAAACTCCTAAACCGTAAGACTTGGAGACAAAACATTTTTTTCATTCCAGTAACTCATTGTGCCGAACATTTATGGAAAGTTTCGTCAAGATCGGATGCACGGTGTAGGAGATAATTTCTGAGGGGGGGGGCATTAAGCTCAAAATGATTACACAGCAATTCCATTTCAGCATATTCTCTAGATCATGCGAACTCTTCGTTGTCACATAAATTATTTAATTTTTTTTCAGAAATTGTTGAACATTTGTGCTTATTTTTATCGAGAAAATTTTTACCTCACTCTTCCACCTTCTTACCGCGTGCATTTCAGTATGTAATTAAAGCTTCATCACAAAATTCTTTTTTATTTTAAATCTTTGCAAAGTCAGCATATTTAATAGTCTTTATACAAAGAAAAACTTTTATGACTCGCGTATTTTCTAAGAATAAAGAACCTTTTTATCTCCATTCGTATCCGTTCCAAAATACAATGCAGGCGGTTGCTTTTTGAGTAACTTTTAATAGAAGATAGATAGAGACCTGCGGCTTTTACTATTGGATAGCCAAGACCTGTGCGCACCTTTCCATAAGCAAAAATAGAAGATAAGATAAGAAAAAGATTTATTTTTAAAAGTATTTTGAGCAGATCTTTGAAAAACTAGTTTGGATCTCTGAGAACTGACATAGAAATAGGGCGATCTTTCTTCGTAGATAGATAGTCCAAAGTGTCCTCTGCAAAATGGGAATTAAGCAAACCCTTAATTTTTTTTGGTTTAGGGATGGCATCGAATTTTCTGAGAGTCCGAAAATCAATATTTCTATGGGTGTGGCAATTTCAAAAATAAATGGAAACATACGTAGTCGACCACGTTGAATCTCGTGGCAATATTTGTTTTACAAAACACTTGCAAAATGCTATATTAGGTGAAATAACCTATTTTTGCCTATATTGAGTAATTAAAAAATTCATAACCCAGCCAAGGTCCATCCAGATTACGTCAGAATATCAAAATGAACTCTATTTTACCTGTTCTATATGTTTTTTTACTTGAGAATAGTAAAAAAGATTGCTGTACTTCGGAACATTTCTAGAAAACCCTTTCAAAAGCCAAAGTATTTTCTGTTGGCTTTTATTGAGCTGCATCATATAGAGCAGGTAAAATAGAGTTCATCTTGATATTCTGACGTAATTTGGATGGACCTTGGTTCGGTTATGAATTTTTTAATTACTCAAAGATAGACAAAAATGGGTTATTTCACCTAACATACAAATCAGTGCTACCAAAATAGAAATGTTATGCGTTGAGCATTTTACTATTGAAAAAAATGAAAAGCATTGCTTTTATAAAATTGTATCAGCACAGACACTAATTTTACAACAAGACTGCACGACAATCTGAATGAATATCACGAATTCGTGGATCTGACTAATCTTTTTTACGATGTGATTGAAATCAAAAATATTAAGAATGAATGTCGCGTAATACCTTTTGCAGGATAACATTTAATTACTGAAATATTTTGGACAGTTGAACACGACTAAAACCCTTACTCTTTTTCTCTCCTCTATCAACAGCTACATCGCATTGTAATAATGAACAAACTCGAACTCAAAGTTCATCACAACTTCTTTCAACAACAGCAACAAAACGATCAGCTAGTACACCATCTTGTGGTGCTCCTCCTACCGCTATTCTGAAGAAAAAGTACGCGTCTATAATGACAATGAACTGCAGCAAAGTTTCTTGGCTGATATGTGATTTTAAATGCTTTTTTCTGTTCAGTTTTAGATCTGATTCTTTGAGAAAGCGACACGGACGCTACCATTGAAAAAAATATACAGATATGCCCGTTGATTTTTCGATATTTCGTAGAATTCACGATCCTGAACAAAATCTGAAAGTATGAGATTTTGATTTCTTGTATTTGGAACACTTGTAAACGACTTATTGACAAAGTAGAAAGCTTTTGTTTTTTGTTTTTCATTACTTTTTTGAGTGAATGGAGAGGAGTACACAAGTAGACGAAATCTGAAATTTAAATGGAAATTTCGTTTTTGAGAATATAATGGCACCAGTCTGTTAACATAAACAAAGATCCCTAAGACTAGGCTCCAATTAATCATATTTTTTAAAAATTTAAATTTCAGAGTATTTTGAGCTTGATTACAGTCATTTTCTGAGCTGGTCATATATGTTTCATTTATCCAAAACTGATATTTTTTATGTTCCAGATACTGAAACCAAGGACCAAGGTGCGAAAACGTTTTTCTTTGCTACGTGATTGAGTTAACCACTATTTGGAAACGTAAAATATTGCACATTGGTTTCAAAAATTCATCAGTGCGTTTGATTTATCTTTATATTTAACTCATTATCGTTGTTGCTCTTTTTCGTCGATGTTCGGTTCATACCATGGATCATTTCGATCATCGTTTGATTATATGGTGAATGCTGAAATGCTTCGATACATTTTTCAATAAATTCATTATTATTTGTAGATGTGGATAACTGTGTTAAATAATATTCTGCAGGATTATAATTGAATGGACATGGACATTGTAGACATGATGCAAAAAATTCCATTGCACCAGTACGGTCCCCGAAATAGACCTGTTTTCCATTCACTAATAAGCAAACCATATCAAGCAAGGAGTAAATCTCTGATGTGGGTTCATTGATAACAGTGATCATCGTTTTCCCTGCGTCTGTCAACTTTTTCATAATGTTTACAACTGATTTTGCCAAGTGGAAATCAAGTCCGGATGTTGGTTCATCGACAATCAATAGTTTTGGATCGTTCAATATCACACTTGCAAATGTCAAACGTTTCATTTCAACATTGTTGATACCTTTTAATTTGTCAGGTACACCAATAATTGTGTTTTGACATGTCTCCAAATCCATTATTGACAAAACTTCTTGAACACGTGCGCGACGATCAGAATCACTTATTGACGATTTCATACGTAGCATGGCCTGTATTCGGAACAAATACAGTTATTGTTGTAATAAGGTACAAGTATAGACTTAGTTTACCTGAAATATCAAATGTTCTTTGATAGTCATTGTTCCGATGAATAATTCATGTTGTTCAACATAACCACATTTTGTCATTAACAATTTATTCATTTTTAATAAATTAACTCCATTCATAAATAAATTGCCTTCAACATTCATGCCATCTTCTTGTCTACCACTGAAGATATTCAACAGCGTTGTTTTACCTATTCAAAATAAATTAACTGCAGTCCCGGTAAAGCCTTTTGCTCACCTGCACCAGATGGACCGAGAATGGCCAAAATTTTGCCTGGAATGGCATACCCAGATATACTGTGTAGCAACTGTTTTTCTGTTGGTTCTGTGTAATTTGAACGAAATTTCCTCTTTAATATTTCACTAAAGCCACTTCTTCGTGATGACGCTTTTGGACTGATACGCGCCGATATGTTTTCCCAAGATAAATGTATCGAATCACTAGGTGAAACAACAGACTCTTGTTTCATTAAAGTCTCCCCTTGATAGATGCGAAATTAGTGTATTCCTCTACAATGAAGATAGTGCTGAAGCTGATCAGCGATATGCATGAATGATTTATGTTGTCACATGTTTTTCTAGTTTTTTAACGATGAGAATATTGGGTCGCATCTTCTAAAACGAATTACAACTCATTTAGATTCATTTGAAATAGTAAACAATATCTACGTGTTTCCATAAGGAGAGAATACTTTCTACACTCTTATGATATATCAGTGGAAAGCATTATAAGAGGTTACATCTATACATATCCATTGCTATATCGCTATAACTCAGTGGAGATTATTATCAGATGCACATGTAATATCATCCAATATTTCCCATTAGCTTTTTCTTTTCTAATTCAGAGATTTGTTAGATCCACCGCAATGCGTCAGTTGTTACCGGTCGTATTTTCTAAGATAAAGTTTTCTACCTTCCCAGTTCGCAAAGAATAGCATAACCACCAAGCCATCCTTCCTTAAGAGAGTAATAATCCCATAGACCTCAAATTAGAAATCGTGCACCAAAATGTTTTTCGAATCTTTTTGTGATTATATGACTTAGGTTTCCAAAAGAAAGCTTTTTATAATCACTCACATGTGCAACAGGAAAGAAAAATGAATCATTCAAAAGTTCGTTCTCTTATCTTTTTTCGTTACACACTCACTCTCCATTCTCTCAGCGTTTTCTCGTTATTACACATAATAGTTATGGCTTCTAGAACATCTTGTGCTCACCTCAACTGTGAGAAGGGAGTTGGTGTGTTAACATGTAGTGGATGTGATAAAACATTTTGTCGAAAACATTCGAACGAACATCATCAAGCACTCGCCAATGAATTGAGTGAAATTGTTATTGTTCACGATGACATTTACAAGCGGTTGAGTCAGGATTCGAAGACACGTCACCCGATTTTACAACAAATTGACGAGAGGGAAAGTGATCCATGTCTGTCTAATCAGTCTAATAATCTATAAAGTAGAAACACGGCCTTCGTAATGCATCGAGCTGGAACGGCATCGGTTACTTGATTGTAGTCATTCCTATGATCACTACAGACCTTTTACATGGCCACTAAGCCATTACTGTAGTGAGAAAAATATAGTATGATGTAGTGCAGTGTTACTTTTCCCCATTGATCTGCACTCGTTTGACGCGATCAGCATTTGAAATACTTTCTCGTTGCTGAGCAGGAGTTACTGAGACATGTCGACAGGTTCATGCTTTTTTTAATTGAAAACAAAATTAGTTAACATTACATTCAAAAACACAACAGAATACTCTAACTTAAAGACGACTTTGATTTCTAGAATCAGATTTGATTTGGATTCAAAAGTAATCTGATTTATCTGTCTCGTTAATGACAAATTCTCACACAATCGCCAGCCCAATAAAAGTTGATTACAAATTGCCACGGGAATGGACAATATGTCAGATCGATGGGAATTTCAAACGTTTTTCCAGCTCTTTTGTTGAGTAACTGAATTTTCTTCTCGATACAATTAAGCACAAGATCGATATTATCGTATTGCCGAAAGCAATGTTCATTACTTGCAAAGCTCGTGTGTTTAACACCTTTTCGGTAGATTTGTGTAATTGGTGAAAGGGTACTTTCAGCTACCCAAGATACGATTCTCATATTTACGTGATCAATTTTTTCAAAATTTTTAATTGGCCTCTTTTACTCACGAAAACGTCCTACTAGTATATTTTTGGCTGACCTGCCACTAAATGATTATGAGCTTCGTGAATAATACTAATCCATAACCGGATGGAGATTTACGAGAGTCGGCTTTTGGTGTAGACGGTGTTGACGTAATGCCGATAAATATCCAATTTAGTTTATCGAGACAGAATGAAATGCGATGAATGCCTTCAGAATAGAAGTTAGTTCCGTAAACACTTGCACTACCGCACACGTTGAATTTACCAGAAGAAACAGCCACCCGATTATCATCTGAAAGCGTTACAGATCCAACAGTTCTGCCAAATGTTTCCTGAACGACGTTTCGCTTGAAATTTGGCTCTACAAGTGGATTTGGATCAATGTGGAGCGTGTCTGTTAATAGCAATATATGGTCGAGGTTAACAGAAGAGTTAATCTCACTTTTTAGTTTGTCGAGTTCTTCTCTCCATTTGACCAAATCAGGTTCCAAATAATCCTCAGTTTCTCGTCTCGTATGCAATTCATCCGCAATCAATTGGAACCGGTCAGCTATTGTTTGGCGATGCTCAGCAATAACATTTTGAACTTTTTTTCTTGCATCATCTGCAGCTTCTCTGATTTTTCTAAAAGATTCATTTTCCCACTCATCAATTTGTTGTAAAATCGGGTGACGTGTCTTCGAATCCTGACTCAACTGCTTGTAAATGTCATCGTGAACAATAACAATTTCACTCAATTCATTGGCGAGTGCTTGATGATGTTCGTTCGAATGTTTTCGACAAAATGTTTTATCACATCCACTACATGTTAACACACCAACTCCCTTCTCACAGTTGAGGTGAGCACAAGATGTTCTAGAAGCCATAACTATTATGTGTAATAACGAGAAAACGCTGAGAGAATGGAGAGTGAGTGTGTAACGAAAAAAGATAAGAGAACGAACTTTTGAATGATTCATTTTTCTTTCCTGTTGCACGTGTGAGTGATTATAAAAAGCTTTCTTTTGGAAGCCTAAACCATATAATCATAAAAGGAACGATACATTAGTTACAAACGGTCTTTATCTGAAAACTGACGATCGATTATAATTTACTGCACACATTTTCAGGCATTAATCCATCACATACAGTGTGTAACAAAATTGATCATACACTACCCCCCTAGTGAAAAACTTACTCAAATCTTACTAAGATCTTAGAAAAATCTTGTTAAGATCTTAGTAAGATTTCGCTTGCAGTTGTCTAAGATCTTAAATAAATCTTACTAAGATCATGAGACCCGAAAATTCTAAGATTTGATAAGATTTTTCTAAGATCTTAGACAAATGTAAGCGAAATCTTACTAAGATCTTAATAAGATTATTCTAAGATCTTACCAAGATTGTATTGTCTAAGACTTTTTCAAGATTGGATAAGAATATATTAGGACCTTAATAGCAAGAACGATAACGTTTTTTAAATAATATTTATCCGANTCACTGAAAATTTTTCAAGTTTTAATCCGCATTATCCAAGTTGAAGAATGAAGAGAAATTTCATATTTTCAGGTGTCCAACTATGGACCTTGACCTGCATGTACACTCTCTTAAAAATTGTTGAACAGTTTCGAGAGAGCAAGTACCAGCAGAGTCAGAAAGAAAAATAAGCATATAATCACTCATATTTTCGGTCACTTATATAGATGAATGGGAGCAAAACAAAAGGGTGAATGAAAGCAGAGTCATTAAATCTTATCAAAATCTTAAAGGATAAGATCTTATAAGATCTTAGTAAGATAATGTTAAGAAGTGTCTAAGATTTTTACTAGGGTCATATAAGCTTATGACTAATATTTCTCGAAACAGAACCATCTGAGAGGCTCGGCGTTTCACTAAAACGTTCTAAATTTATTATAGTCTGTTTGGTTGAAATAGGAAGTGTTTATGTCATATAGTCGTTATGTTAGGTCAGAAAGAGTGAACTGGACAACTTTCTTTGTCCAACAACGTTGATAATATAGTTCAGTTTTAGAATTTTTTACTAGTGAACTTTTATTTTATTTTGATAAAACGAATGTCTTTTGTACATTTTTTCTCAGTCTTTTGACTCATTTGTACTTCAGAATTTCAAACCAAAGAGCGAAGAAAAGGAAAACAGAATTTTTTTCGATACTTTTTTGTAACGCTTCTCATAACAACTTCATATTTTCATGAGGTCAAGATTTAAAAACTTAACGGCTTTTTCAGTGTTGTGTAGAGAATCGAATGAGCAATAGCAAGTCCACTATGTAAAAAATTATGAAACCGAACTATATTATCAACGTTGTTGGACAAAGAAAGTTGTTCGTTCACTCTTCCTGGCCTGGCATAACGGCTATATGACATAAACACTTCCTATTTCCACCAAATAAACTACAATAAATTTGCAACATTTTATTGGAACTCCTAGTCTCTCAGATGATTCTGTTTCGAAAAATATTAATTATAAGCTTATATGAGTGGTGTATGATCAATTTTTTTACACACTGTATGTGAGTCAAATACGAGCCAGTGATCGGCACTATTGTGCGAAATGGCTAGAAGAAAAACTCGTTTGAGGCATTTGTTACTTTGTTCAATAAGAAATACTGCGTATGATTCCGCACCTTGTCTAGTTAATTTTTAATCAAAATAAATATCGTGCACGATTCGATGAAGTACAGCAGAGACAGACGCTTGTTTTTGTATTTCATTGTACCATATTTGAAAACGAGCGGACTTCAAGTAATTTAGAGCTATTATTTCTAATATCTGTTTTTGTTTTCTCTCGATGTTGTTTTTTCCTTCTTATATAAGTTTAGCAAAGAAAAATGTATTTCACATGAAAACCCTCTAATTTCCAGAAATTCATTGTATTTTTTGAGAGACAAATGTGCAACATATTTGAAAATATTCTTAATTAGGCGTTTCTTTTGGGAAATGACAGCCGACAGTTAGAAGATTATCCATTATTTGAAATAGAACATGAAAATAGTTAGTTTTTTGGCTAACGTTGCTGCGAGGGTTGAGATCTCTCACTCTTCACAGGTGTGTGACTTTGAGATAGGATACCTTTTCAATTAACTGAAGAAGTCTACTGTTTATTGTGAACAACGTATATAAATATATTATTTCCGATTGGAACCCAATTTTACCTGTATCTTGAAGAGAACACTAATTTCTTATTATGTGAAGGCAATAAATTGACACACGAACGCATAAAAGAGAACAATTGTGCAGGAAACAATGTTTTTCTCCGGTGATAATAGAAAATTATTCTTTTCAATTATGTTAATTGCATTCATCATCGAAGAGCAATCAGTTTGAAGAAAAGAAGTCCGAACGAATCGTACATTATTAATCGAAAAGCAATGTCAGCTACATCGAAAACCGTCGCTAGCTTGCATTAGAACCACAGGTAAGACAAAGTTTATTTCAAAACAGTGTTGTACTTGTTATTTTACTGTACAAGAGAGCGAATTCTGATCTGCAGTTCTTTGACGTTAAAATCTTTTTGAAATAAACTGCATCATGCCTAAATAGTTTATCAATTTTATGTCCCAATCTTTTGACTCTACCCAGTGGCGGCGCAAGGTCAGTTTTTCAGGGGAAGCAATAAACTTTAAAATGAAATTACAATTCATGAAACTGGACCTGTCTTCCTATTTTAACTGCAAACGTATATTTAGGTTGATTTAGATAGTTTTATTCTAGCAAATATACTGAAAAGCGCCAAAATTTTGAGGAAGCAATAAAAGTTTATTGCTTCCCCCAAGTTTTTTTAGGGGAAGCAATTGCTAACCCGTTGCTTGC